AAAAAAAAAAAAAAAGAAAACAAAAAGAAAAGAAACCACTTCTTTGACCTTGATTAATCCCTTAACTCACTTCTGTGACACCTCCTAGGATCTCATTCTTTCTATCTTTTCAATTTTTTAACCTCATAGGAAAATTAACTCAAGAATTCTTTCTACTGTCACAGCACAAGTGGGTGCCCAGCCCTACGCAGGAGCCAAACATGGACCAGCCTTCAACCTACAAGAAATGTTTTCAGACACCCCAATTCAGCAGCTGCTCGCAGACACCCACCAAAACACCAAACTGGACTCCCACATCTCTATCTTCAGCAGGTCTTTCAGAGAATCAAGACAACAAGAGGCTTGTCCAGACAAGCACTGTGGCTCATGCCAGTAATCCCGGCACTTTGGGAGGCTAAGGCAGGTCACCTGAGGTCAGGAGTTGGAGACCAGGCTGACCAATGTGGTGAAATCCTGTCTCTACTAAAAATGCAAAAATTTGCTGGGCATGGTGGTGTGCGCCTGTAATCCCAGCTACTCGGGAGGCTGAGGCAAGAGAATTGCTTGAACCCGGAAAATGGGAGGTTGCAAGTGAGCCAAGATCACGCCATGGTACTCCGGCCACGGTGACAAAAGCGAAACTCCATCTCAAAGAAAAGAGGCCTAGCCGGGTGCAGTAGCTCACGCCTGTCATCCCAGCACTTTGGGAGGCTGAGGTGGGTGGATCACCTGAGGTTGGGGGAGGTTCAAGACCAGCCTGACCAACATGGAGAAACGCCATTTCTACTAACCATACAAAATTAGCCAGGTGTGGTGGCGCATGCCTGTAATCCCAGCTACTTGAGAGGCTGAGGTAGAAGAATCACTTGAATCTGAGAGACAGAGGTTGCAGTAAGCTGAGACCACCCCCTTCATGAAGACCCATGGTGACCATCCCTTGAACGTCAGTGAGACCAAGTCTTTGAGTTCTTCCTCTACCTTGTCCCTTATACCACTGCCTTGGGACTTCTTACTCCTACCGCTCCACTCCATTCCCAAACCACCCCCTAGGAGGGCCCCATCTTCTGCCATGGACCTCCTTATTCCCAACCCCCAAGATTAAGACCTGTCCACCACACACTGGTTCCTACATGCTTCCATATTTTGGCCCTGCTCAGCAGGGCCACAGCCTCAGCACACTTTAGCTTCAAATATGAGGGGGCTGTGACTTCACCTGTCCACACATCAGCTTCCTCATTGGTAAAACAGATCAGTCCCATGACTAGTATAAGCTGACTGCCAAACTGGGTGGAACATATTAAAACTCTAAAATAGAGACTGGTAAACTCTGCCTATAACCCCAGTGCTTTGGGAGGCTGAGATGGGAGGATTGCTTGAGCTTGGGAGTTCAACACAGTGAGACTCCATCTCTACAAATAAAAAAAGTTAGCTAGGCATGGTGACTGGTGGGCACCTGTAGTCACTTAGGAGGGTGGGACGGGAGGGTCACTTAAGCCCAGGAGTTAGAGGCTGCAGTGAGGTATAATTGTGCCACTGTACTCCAACCTGGGTGACAGAGCTAAACCTTCTGCCACAACTACAACTCTGCACCTGTGTACACTATGTAGATAATGTGGTTGTGGCTGTATCCCAACAAAAATATACACAACAGGCCTCTAGTCTACACACAACCATCCTGTGCTACTAGGGCAGCTGGACAAGTGAGGTGGAAAAGGGACCTTTGTGGTACTTCCTGTGATGAAGGCCAGCAGGCAGGGAGAAGATGCACCTTCTGCCTGAGGTTTCCAGGAAGGGACATGGCGGGCTGAAAGGGGCCGCAGCAAGTCTACCATGACCACCAGGTGCCGCTACATTTATTATCCAAGGGCTTAATCCCATCTCTTGTTAATCCCACCCTATGTTGAAACAAACAAAAACACACATGAATAAAAGACACACAGAGTCCTATTGTGGGGTATCTGATAGCATAGCATGTGTCTTCACCCCAGATGAGAAAAGCTATTAGATTATTTTTCCTAATCCTAGATCCAAAGCTGCCCTGACCTACTGACCCTTGAGGCACTGCCAAAGCAAGATGGGGGGATGAGTGGAGGGGACATGTTTCTTCTAGACTTTGTCACTGCTGTGCACCCAGGGAAGGCAGCTTCTCTTCATTAGCCCCACATTCTGTCTAAAAAGAATGGTGAGTGGGTGATATGCCATCAACCCCACCCACCTTAGCAAGTTCACCTTTCAGTCCTAAGAGGCCGCAGCTGAGTTACGTTTGTCCTCTGTGCCCACTCCAAGGCCCCATGGCCATCTGAGGCACAAGTGTACCACAAATCCACAAAATGCTTCTTATTCCGAAGGGCCAAACAACCTGTACCAAGGTCAACTCTTTTCAGGGTCTTTCTGAAGTTTTGCTGATTTCCAAACCCCGCTTCCCACCTACTTCCTATCTGGAGACAAGCTGTAGTCAGGATGGAACCCCCACTTCATGAAATATAAGGTTTAAGATTAGAGAGGCCAAGGCCCCTTAGCAAAGGTTCACTCTGAGGCTGTCGCCTTGACACAACACAGCACTGCCACCGCCCACCATGTTAGGTCTTCATGAGGGTGAAGATTTATTGAGTACTGAAATGCCAAGACACATGAAAACTAACACTAGTTAGGGGCCGTACATACATTTATTACTGTACATTACTGTATTATTACTAAACGTAAATTATTACTTTAAGATCAAAAAGAGACAGGGCTGGCACAAGGTCACAGGGTGCCCATAAGGTCAGGAAGTCAGGATTTAAAGCAAGTACTAACCTGGCCACACCTCCAACCATTTAGTTAGAAACAACCTGTTAGAGACATGAAGCAGGCTAACTTGACCTGAGCAATTATAAAAGGCAGCTAACTTTTTCTTAACTATTTTGCAACAGACATGTTCTAAACACTCTTGATTTAAATTCATTCAATCCTTACAATTCTCTCGGTACTGGCACAGTAATTAGCCCCATTTTTGGGATGAGAAAATGGAGGAACAGGCAGATTAAGTAATTTGCCAGAGTTGACACAAGCAGATGTAAAAGATGGATTCAAACCCAGGGAGTCTGACTCCATGTATGTAGGAAGGATTAAACCACCTATAAGCAAAATATAAACATTCATCTGTCTCTGGTTTCCCTTGAAGCTCAAAGCCACAAGTCCTCCTCTCACAAGGCTCTTAGAATTGCATAAAAACTTGGAGTATCAAGTTATTGAATGTCCTACCACACAAAGCATGTGGTGACACAACCCAACATTTCTCTCCCTCTTGGGCAGGGGCCAGGAAAGAGCTCATAGGAGACAGGTAAGTATGGTTTGTGCCAGGGGTCACCCAGCTCCCCACTCTCCAGCCAAAGACCCAAGTTCCTCACCAGCTCGCGTGTAGAACCAGTTCTCATCGTAGGGAGCAAGCTCTTTGTGCTTAGCCAGCTTGACGGTGTCCACCCATTCAGGGACTTTCAGCTTCCCGGACCTAAGACCAAAACAGTGAGAAAACCTCGATTCAGTAATCTCCACAAACTACCCCACACCCCAAATATGCCCTCCCTTCAACATAACCATGGTTTATGAGGTGCCTGATGTGCCCAGAGTACAAAGAGAAGCTGGAACCGCAACCAAGCCAGGCCTAATGCCGAAAGGAGCCACAGAAGCCCCTAACAAGTCTCCCCTGCCAGCACCGGCAAACACTGGGCCCAGATGGGTAGACCAAGGCGACAGCCTCCACCCGCTTTGAACCTCAGTCCCCAAACTCACTTTTTGAGAAAGGCTGCCAGAGCTCTGACGAACTCCTGCTGGTTCACGTCTTTTACAGTAACTCCAGGCATCTGCGGGAGAAGGTCACGCATGTGAACACAGGCCTAGCGGAGACGACCGCCAAGGGCCCGGACCCCACCCCACTCCTTTCGCTCCAAGGTATCCTAAACCAGGGTACCCCGTTACTTCCCAAGGCCCCTTCAACGACTGGCCCCGGCTCCTGCGGGTCCGAAGGAGCTCACTGACGCCCACGGACTTTCTGGGTCGCACGAACACAGCCCGGCTCCCGCGTGTGAAGATCCTACGCAACCTCACTCCTCAGCCCCGGGACTCCGGACGCCCCACGCACACCCGCCACTGCTCCCCCGAGCCCACGCTCAGCTCCCGGACGGCGCTGACCGGGCATGTTCGGGCCTGCCGCTCGCACGTGGCCGCGGCTCCAGGGGGCGGGACAGGCCCGCACCGGTCGCCTCGGGGCCCTAAGGCACGCGCTCTGAGGCTGCGGCGTCCAGTCCTGCCGCCCCACTCACGGTCCGATTCGGAGCACCCGCTTACCGTGCGGCCTCCGCGCTGCCAGCCAGGGGAAAGGGAGCGACGGGGTTTCCCGGGCGCACAAGTCGGGCTTCGGGTCTCGCGAGAGTTCTGAAAGTTCGCGAGAGCGGGGGGGTAAAAGCGGAGGCTCCGCCTCTCCCAGGGCGAATGTGGCTTCGTCCCCGCCTAGAGGGGAGGTTATGTATTGAGGGGTGGAGAGGTAAAGGGCAGGGCCGAGGGGTCGGGCTTGGAGGCCAGGTTTTCCTCCCGCTTTTCCTTCTCCCGGAGTGTAATAGAGGATAAGAGGTCCTGTCCCGAGATGGGGGAACTTGGCTTCGTTTGCGTCGTTCGTGACTGGAAGGAACAGTGGTGGAGAAGACTATGATGGCAAAAACACAGGGCAGGTTGGGTGGGCAGCCGGCGCCCTCAGCGGAACAACCCCTTTTCCGGGTGGAAGTGGCTGTTCTTTGACAGGAAGTGGGAGTAGTAAGGGCGGAACTGTGACGGGGAGCCTAGGGGAAGGGCGAGGAAGAAATGTGGCTACCATCTTCCGTCCTTCACCGCAAGGAGTCGCGAGAGTGGGAGACGGAAGCCCCACCCTTCTCAGGGCGGAAGTTGCTTCAGCACCACCCGGGCGAGCGAAAGGGGAGTGAGGCACTGAGGGAGGAGATAAGGGTGGGACAAAGCGGCAGAGGCGGGACCTTCAGAGGGGTTAGTTCAGTTCTGCCTTCTAGTGTCGGAGCCTGTTGGCTCAGTTGTTAGGCTTACTTTGCCCATTTAGATTTACCTGCCCTGCTGACCTGTGTAGATTCAGGCGGTCCATTTGCTCTCTCAGGGCTTGTCTCACCATTGAAAAAAAAACAACAACAAAACTGAGATCCCCATTTGCCCATTTAAAGTGGCTGCTCTGGTTCATGGCGCGTCACATGCTCTAACAACAAATATTTTTTGAGTGCCTGCTCAGTGCCAGGCCCAGGTAAACATTATATTGGACATTTATCATGTGGCTGGTCCTGTAGTGTTACATGCATGATCTCATTTAATCCTTACAAGGCTCAGCAGCGAAAGAACATGTGGTCCAATAAAATTATGTTAACTTGTTTCAAAAAGGAAACACTGAAATGCGTGTAGCTATTTTCTTATTTTGGAACGACTTTGAGAATTTAGAACATCCGAGCAAATAATATTATATTTTTTCCTCACACTGATACCGTGGCTACAAAATGTGTTAATTATTAATAAGCCAATACCCATATCTGTTAGAAAAATTAAAACCATGCTTCTAGGATAGGATCATGTATTTAAGTCAGGGTTTTACATTCATGTAGAATGTTGTTGAAACACTGTTTCTAAAACTTGAGAAAATATTTTCATTATCTCAATTATTTTTATAGAACCAACACATGTATTTGTATATGTGTTCCATTAAAAGTGGGTAATATATGCATGTCTAACTGGAAATTTCCATGTACTTGGGTTATTTATGTTCACTTTTTATAATTTAATTAATTATTGTTATTGTTATTATTTGAGACAGAGTCTCCTTCTGTTGCCCAGGCGGGAGTGCAGTGATGTGATTTTGGTTCACTGCAACCTCCACCTCCTGGGTTCAAGTGATTCTCCTGCCTCAGGCTCCCGAGTAGCTGGGATTACAGGTGCCTGCCACCACACCTGGCTAATTTTTGTATTTATAGTAGAGAGGAGGTTTCACCATATTGGCCAGGCTGGTCTTGAACTCCTGACCTCAGGTGATCCACTTGCATCGACCTCCCAAAGTGCTGGGATTACAGGCATGAACCACTGTGCCTGGCCCCTACTTTTAATAATTTCTAGTGTCAGTTCTGAGTCATTTACACATAATTCATTTGAGTCAATTCACTAAATTTAATTTTTTTTAAAGCTCTCCAGAGGAACTCTGGAGTGCCTGGCCAAAGGAAGAGACAGGGTGAATATAGAATATTGGGAAGAGTGAAGCTTAGGTAAAATTTATATAAAGCAGAGTTTTGATGGACATAAGGCAAAGCAGGCATGAATTTATGTAATGAAGCTAACATCATGCCTGGGCTAGGAGCAGACCCAGGATTCTATTTCCTGGGACATTAGAAAGTTTAGATAAATGTTCTACGTTGTCTCTAAAACCCACTTCTCTGAAGCTCTCACCTGAGTTGGAGATTATGACTGCTTCTCTGTGTCAAAGTGACTTAGACTTTCTAGGTAAGAATGACATGTCCCATTCTCACTATTGAATTGATTTCAAAGAGCAAAATTCTGACAGTGTGTGATTTTAGAGAACACAGTTTCTCAGCATTGTGTGCCTGGTGTTAATTTTTGTACATGTTAGTTTTTACAGGTTCATAATTGACAACTCTGTGAGGTGGTTATAGAGCAGTCAACTGAGGCTTAGAGTCATTTGTCCAAGGTCACATAAGGCTAAAGCCTGAGCTGGGATTTGAAGCCACAACTGAAGATGCTCAAGCTCTTTCAATAAGATGACTTGAGGTCAGGAGTTAGAGACCAGCCTTACCAACATGGAGAAACCCCGTCTCTCCTAAAAATACAAAAATCAGCTGAGCGTGGTGGCACATGCCTGCGGCTCCCCTCAACCACAGGGGAAGACTGCTGCGCTTGAACAGGCAACAACTTAGGAGCATGAGCAATTCTTAAATCTGCTCTTTTCCCTAAGACGTACATCTGCAGAAGCTCTGGCCCTCTCTCTCAGGTAGTAATGGGGCACCCTAATGATTTGAAAGACAAAGTTGGTCTGGCCAGTGGTGTGAAAAGCCTTGTCAGGCCAGGCACTGAAGGGGAGGTGGGCTGCAGAGAAATGAGAAGGGCCTGTGAAGAGGGGCCTGCTCTCCACCCTTCCCCCAATCTCCATCACTCCCTCTTTTCCTCCCCTTTTCATGCGTCCTTTAACCCCAAATTATACTTTCTATTTTACCCTTCTCAGCTGTGTGACGTTGGTGTACAGGGGACCCCTGGTCAGCGCCAAGTAGCAGAGTCTCAGCCATGGTGCATGCTGCAGTGCTTCCTTTCTCTGTGATTTTGTGTCCTTGGTCATCTGTCACTAGGAAAGCATGGCACACCAAGTCTTCGGCAGGTCTATTAAGGAGCAATCATACATAGCTAAGGGGAGGGAAGAAGGGTGTGGGGCCGACTTTAGTCTCTTGATGTCTCACAGTACCTGCTGAGAAGCGCTGCAGGTTTTACTACTTGGTAATCTATTAGGGAGGAGAAGAAACCCACCTTCTCAAAATCCCAAACAAAAAAGAACAAGTTGTAGTTGAATGTCCTCACCATCAATCATCTTGAGTAAAACAAGGGGTGTAGGTAACATCAGGAAAAAGAATCAGTAATTCTTATAGGCGCATGCCTGTAATTCCAGCTACTCGGGAGACTGAGATCAAGCACATCCTTTGAGCCCTTCTAAAGGTGGGAATGGGAAGAGGGGTCTCCAGTCCTCACATCTTTGGAAGAGCTCAGCAAGTTTTCATATGTTTGGAATGGTTCAAGGAGAAGGACACCAGAGGACTAAGAAACAAATGCAAGTTAGATCTTATTGTTAATGGTATCATGAGTACAAAAATAAAACTTTCGCCAGGCACGATGACTCATGCCTGTAAATCCCAGCACTTTGGGAGGCCGAGGCAGGCGGATCACCTGAGGTCGGGAG